GCAAAGGTGGGCAAGCAGGATGATGTTTTGCGGCAACTATTCAGGTTGAAGGATTCGTGTTTGTCAGAGGGCCTGGAAGTGTACGGCGTGCACGCATTCACGATTGGGGGCTTTGTGGTTAATATAAAAGAGAGACTTGAAGAGCTGAGGGCGCCAAGGGGACGTGAGGCACGGCCGTGTGTGCTGCAATCGCACCCCGAGAAGCATCCAAGCAGGCCAGTCGTACTGGCCCCACGGGGAGTCAATCCCCCAAAGGTTGATGTGGAGTGTGGGGCGTTGTACGTACCGAGCGCAAGAGGCTTTCCGCTGATGGACGCCTTTTTCTTCGTGGACGCACCGCGGAAGACGGCGGTTGGGCTGCAGACGACTGTGAGGGGCGGGCGCCACACCCAACCCGGCACTGTGAGGCGGCTCAGTGAATGCATGGCGCAGTATTTTAACGGCTGGGAGGCGTTTGCCGCAGACTTGTCGTGGGAAATTATTTACGTGCGGCATGGCGGGAGTGCGCCGATAAACAAGTGGCAGGAATGTAATGCCGTCGCGGGAGAAAACGAAGACCGGAGAGAAGAGAGGCGGAAGCGGGAAGAAGATGAGGAAGAGAAAGCTGCGAGCTCCCGGGACGAAGAGGCACACCAGTACCAGGTGAGGGTATCCGAGGAGGATTTAGTACCTAAAAAAGACGACCAAAGCGAGCAGCAGCCAGAGGGGCAACCAACTAAATAACAACAATAATAATTAGCCGTCTTCCCTTCATGTTAAAATGCCTTTTGGGGAATATTTTTTGCATCGTTGCCTATTTGTGTGTGAATAGTGCAGGCAATAACTAAGAAAGTACTCTGCCGTGCGCTGAAAACGCATTGTGGCCAGTGGGAACACAGTGGCAACTTCTTTTCGTTTGTGTGTGTGTGTAAGAGATTGCAGCAGGAATAATTACAGCTTGTGGATTGGGTGTGTGCCAACAATAACCACAACTGAAAATGTCTTTTGGTCTAGTTTATCGCTGTGTGTGTGGAGGGGGAGTTTGGGCCAAGCAGTGTGTGGTTTTGCAGGCCGAGGTAAGTTTACCAGCGGCGACAGCAATGGGTTGGTGCCCAGCACCGCCCATAGATCGTGGGGCAAACCGAATTTATGCTGTTCTTCTTCTTTATTTTTTTTTGCGTTTGTGCAGTGTTTCCCTCGCTTTTTTTCTTTTTGTGCATGGCGTCGTTCTGGCTGGTGTGCCGCCGCAGTGGGTGCAGCCGAATTCGTCTCTGAGGGCCTCGGGCAAACGATGTGGAGGCTTCTGCCTCTTGCTGGGTTGCCATCCTGGGCGTGTGTGCGCCTGCTCCGTGTGTTGCTTGGGCTGCACGCACCGGGCGAGCAGCCTGGAGCTGTGGACACGTTGACGCCGCCCTCCTTCTCCTCCTCCTCCTCCTCCTCCTCCTCCTCCTCCTCCTCCTCCTTTGCCGACTGAAGGAGTGCGTGCGGGAGGGGGTCGC